CACATTGAACGTCGTATGAAAGTAAATGACGGCGAAACAACAAATATCGGTCGCTGTCTTCTGGTGAGATCGACCTTCGAATCTCTTCATCATAAAATTTCGTACCAAATATAAGTCACCACAACAACGTCTTGTTTGGACGATGAGGTTAATGTTCATGTTGAACGAATGTGAGTGAAATTGGAAGCATCACTGAACGGACAAGTTGGGTCGCTTTATGTTGCATGGCGACTCAACACCCTCTCTCTCTCCTTCAATCTTCTAATCAAGCATGAGTAATTCCTACTCAACTTTCTACCACCGGTCCTCACATTCAGCGTATTTCCTAAGCTTTTCATTTCAGTAGCTGCTCCTATCTTCCTTTTAGCAGCATAAGTATCAGCCTCAGCAAACCTACTCGAGTGAGACCTGTTTAATGTACATTATCTGTCATGTTTTTAGCCACTTCTGTCCATTGGCCTGAGCCTCTTTTACAAGCTTTTTTATGTTCCCCAATCCTTGTCGAATAGGCCGGCATGACCACTGGAGCAAACTCTCTTGTAACAGCCGGATCTGGAAAAAAAGTTCACATTTCTCTCTCTAAAATGGCATATACATCTCATATTACTGATTTCCTGGTAGTCTCGAAATGCAACTTATATACAGAAAATAAGTAATGTAATCAATTCTTATAGCAAAAATATGTTTGCTTCATCGACAATCCTACCAAAGAATCGGATGCGGTAAAGGGCCTGATCTTTCTTGTAATTAACATCTGCCCTCTGACCCAAAGGCACACGTGGTAACGTAGCTAGTGGTTAACGTGTTGAAGTCACATACTGCACAGTCATGGTTCGACTCCCGCTGAGGGTGTTGCTAAGACCGATGCGAGGTCGAAACTGCCGTCCACTCCAGCCGGGATGAGATCGACTTTTGTGGAAGCAAGGCTATGTGAAATTGAATGAAAACCTCAGCTCTACTCACATCATGATTGTGGGAAAATTCTACTAACAGTCCTTCATCACCTTAAACGAAATTGGGTGAATCCATCTCATACTACTTATTTACTGGTCGTCTCGACGCTCTACTTCTATACAGATAACAAGTGAAAGTGTGAGGGTTTCTTTGAACACTGTTTTTATTCCCAAATTCGCCTATCTTCTTAGAAAGAAGGTGTTACAGCAAAGTTAGGACATGAATAAAGGTCTCAGCTTGCTTGTCTTTGACTGCATTGTCTCCAGCTGAAAAATTATTTCTCAGTAAAGAGACATGATGATCAATTAGGGTCAACCTAGGAATAGATCTTTCGACCGTTTCAACTATTTAGCCGAATGGTTGCTATCCGCAAGTCTCAGACTCCTAATAATGATTGACTTTTAAATTCCAACCTTCGTTTTGTAATTATGATAAACCATAAAATTAAGAAAAGAGCCAACATACGTTGGCTTCCTTTAAACATCTCCTTCTAACTTACTCTCTTTTTAAATGAGTAAAAAAGAGGCAAGGACCCTTTTTTTATTTCCATTGCCAACACAATGTTAATTTCACGTAGGCTAGGTGAAAGTATGAAACTATCCAAGCTTTCCTTGCCATGAGGCCTAATGGCAAACTAGTCATCCATGAATTTCTATATAGAAGGAAAAGTTGGCAGGAAGGAATTCGTGATCTGGTCAAGGATTGCTTCGTAGGTGAGACTCTTGTATTGTGCCAATAAGTCATCGGCTCACTGTTTGTCACTCCGATGAATCTATGCTAAGCTTTCGTCTATACTGCCAGCAAAGACATGATCATACCAAGAATACATAATTTACGGGATAGAGCAGAAATATACTCTGCGAAGAAAGGTTCATTATAGAGGACTATCATGATTCAAAATCGTTGAGCATACTTTTGTTTCAAGGAAAACTATTTGGTGAAGGGACGATCTGTTTGTTTTGAAGGCCGATCACGGAAGTAAGCTCAATAACTATGGAAAAGAAGATTCCTCGAAACCCAACGTTTATTTGCATATACCACGTACATATGGTATTAATTCTTATCAACTTCCTTCTGGTTATACGAAAACCAAGTCAATACTATTAGATTGTCAAGAATTTGTAGCTCACATAATGTAGTAACAAGATGTTGTCTTTTTGGTAGGCATCCAAGTTTACCTATTTCCACTAATATGAAATTGGAACAGATGCCAAGTGGTTTGGTTAAAACTAGACTAAAAGAAAGTATAAACCCATTACATGACCTGATTAGAAGCAAAACGAGGACTAGAAAATCCCATTCTCTGCTAACTTCTCAAATTACAAAATATAGTCGACGGTCTGGATAAGATTCATAGACGTAGACATGATAACAAATTAAGGAATTTAGGCAGCTTAACGAATTGTTGAAACATTAAGGATGCAGATCAAATTAGTGCTATTTATGCTAGAAAAAATAAAAGCATTAATTTATCCAGTCTATCTATAGATGCTAGATATTATAGATGCTATAGATACATAGTATAGAAAGAGAACTGCTTCCTCATTTTGACCCAAGTAATTATTCTAAAGAAAGCTTATATCTTAGAAAAAATCTCCAGACATCTGCGATAAAATGATCTGTTTGTCCTAAAGGCAGTAGTCATCATAGATAGGTTATGTTATATAGAAAAAATGACAGTTCATTTTGAAGTGGGTTGGCATCGTTGTCGCAACTTAGTTTTGTTGTCAGGACGACTTAATTGGACACACTTTGTCTGAAGTCCTCTGGCAGAATAGTCATCATAATTCCCAGCATCAGATCGTGAACTTGGTACATTCTCATACGTTTCGCCGACGTCATCAGTGAGAGCTGCCACTCTGAGTACCAACCTACGAACTCGTCAAAGAGACAAATGAAGTCAATCCCTCGACCAACGTTTTGCCAAAAACGATTATACTGCCCTGGCCCATCTTACAACTCTTATCCAACTGCTTACATTCCAATCGTCGAAATGTGTGCCCTTTTGTGGCAAATTTAGTGTGGACTCATCACACCTGCTATGAATCCTCTCTTTCGATCGGCTAATCCGACTGGGGCTATCTACCCACATCTTCCCCATGGTCCCGTAGATCCGCTCCTTGTCTTTCTGTTTGACCAATTTCACTCGGTTACAGTTAAAATGTACGTTCTACTTCAGGCATTGCCTCTCAAGATCCTACAAGCACGTACACCGCCGCTTCACCGAACAGACCGCCAGGGCTCTGATTCCCATACCTGAAGTTACCAAACATTGCATTCACGGGTCGATTTCGACCATACCGGGGGTTAACACAATCTTGGTATTCATATCTTCGATAGTTCATTTAAATGACTCAAAAACATACAGACTTTTAGTGAAGGATGATACAGAGGGTCTTAAGGTCAAAATTAAGGAATTGATGAACGTTTGTTTAAGTAAAAGAGAAATTGAGGAATAGAAAGTGAATTCACTTCTCCAAAGGGACCCTTGGACACCTTCAACTTGCGGCCTTCCAAAGAATCGCAAGGAGGGACTTCCTTTGAGAATGATTGTCAATAATAAGGGAATTGTGATGCATAAGATTTCGTAATTCTTATGCAGACAATTAAGGAAAGTAGCTGAGTAATGGAAATATTCAGTGACGAATTCATATGAAGTTGTTAGATTGATAGATCAACAGAGTATTAGGGAGGAGGACCTTTTGGTGGGTTTTTATGTGGTATCAATGTCTACTAACATCCTAGTTCAGAGGGCTGTTGAAGCACTATTACCCAAAAAGTATGGAAAAGCAAATCTGAGCAAAAACTCAATCTTAAGGCTACTTAATCTATCCATGAGTAGTATATACTTAACCTTTAATGATAAAGTATATGGACAAGGGCAAGGTATAGCAATTGGATCTTGTTTAGCTCCCATTTTAGCTAATATTTACATGTCAAGAATGGAGGAAGAGGTAAGATTGATACCATAAATGTTATTTAGATATAGGGATGACTACTATGCCATATGGCAGCATAGCAAGGATAGTTTAG